TTGATCTATTTTTGTACGAACTAACCGAAAGATAGTGCATATATCCTGAACCGCAATTAGATTCAAAACACGTACTGGAATATTTCCATGAAATTATACCTTACTTTATAGTTTTCGAGTTTCCAACAAAAAGCTAATACTGAGGTTGAAATCATTAGTAGCTTTATAACAAGGACGACAATAATTACGTTGTAATTGAATTACAAGTTTCGAAAACAACGATGCTTGTAATCTGCGACGTAGGCGGCGGAAAAATTCTTCAAAGTAAAGTAAGAGATCATGTAAAGTAATGAAATTGTTTCTGCTGTTCTTAAAGGAAGTTGTCTACCAATAATAATCATACCAAATCAAATCGCTTATTGAATCATCATTTTGAATGGAGAGTTAGCCATTATGTTTTTTCAATAATGGTGATCTTCCGTTATTACTATAAAATTATTAACTCATACGTGAAGACATACAAAATCGATGGATGATATGGGCGAGTAGACATAGATTTTGGTTATTGACATTTCTCTTTAATTGTGCAGATTCTGGTGAATGCACCGCATAAGTGAACTTCAAAAGTACGAAAACACATAGGTTAGGTTAGGTCCAAAATGAGTGGGTCTATTCGACCCTCCACCGCAACCCACAAGGATTTATCATGGCTCACACTTATTCACACTCGACCAAATAAACCCAGCTTCTCAACGAAGCCAATTAGTTTGTATGGTGAGTGGTCTTTTAGGTCATCTGGTAAGAGTACGGCTCTGCCGAACTATTAAAACCTGTTCGGTCCCCAGCGGGGCAGGCACAAAGTTTCATCTGCTGTTTCATCGTTAATGAGGTAGTCGGATAGTCAAGGTGCAAGATTCCCACCTTGATACCCGCGACAACCTTACCATATGAGGGTTTTTGCACGTCAGCTACACCTGACGATGCCTTAGATTCAACCGTGCAGGGCTTTTTCGCCTCTGGTTTTGGTGAATCATCACTTGAGTGCAGACGTTTGCTAACCTGCTCATGGGGGGTTTGTTCCTCCACCTGAGACAGATTATGCGTACGCCGCTCAAGAATTTGGTGCAAGGCGCTTTCATAAGTTACCCCGCTCTTGAAGAGAAGACTCAGTCGTTTCCTGGCTGCACCACCAAAAATTTTGTTTAGGTTCAGTTATTGGATCAGGAGTTGGAGAGTTGAGAAGCTCTCGTTCCTGATCTAAATTCACAGGGAGGTCAGTTGGAGTCGTAAGCTTGACATCCGTCTCTTCTATAGACTCAACGTCAGAAAGAATTTTTAAGTTTACTCTGTCCATGCCAGTCCCACGAGTAGCTAGGGAAAGGAGGTCAATCACGGCAGAGCTCCGCATTACCGTGACAAGGCGATGCTACGACGAGAGGGCGTAGCATCGCCTCGAAGGTTCCGTAGAGACAGCTGATAGGCTCAGTGTCATTCATCCTCTCGGCACGGATACACACACCTTAGGATTAAGTCATCGTTGGGATGCATTCTGTTAGGGAATAAGAGAACCACAGGTGATTCTGTCATTTCCGTATCCAGCGGGGCTACGTGGAAGCAGGTATCCAATGGCCGGTTTGCTCAACCCCTACATCCCAAGCCAATGGACTCGCCAAAAACAGCATGCACAGTGCTTCAGGCAGGGAAAGATGAACAAGGCCAGCCAACCCGCCTAGGACTCATTGAACAAATCTATGTTTGGGTTACCTCAAATAAACTTTTCCTAAAATTTTCTACTTAGTCTAATTAATCTTTTGTCCGAGGTCTAGGGGTGGGTTAGTGTGATGTGATATTCGAAAATGAATCGGTAGTAAAAACATTTTTCGATTCAAGCTTTCAATAATATGCACTAAAAAGAAGAAAATAAGTTTTAAATTATTTCAAACCTATCAATTTATTACATTAAACAAATTATAAGGTGTAAAAGCCTGTCGCAACTTTTACTTATTTCATAAAATTAGAATAACTTGTATCAAAATCGAGTTACACATGTTATTGTCATGCATCTGCACAGTTGACTAAATCTCACGGCAAGCTTTTTTGTCATATAAAAATGTGTGAAGTAATACATTTGAATTGATTCAGTTCTCTTCGGGGAATGTTAAAAAAACTTGTATTGGAGCATCCAAACTGCCACATTGCAATATCTATTGATATGGATAAAATATTTTACATTCTATCGTTATCTGGTAATTGTTTTGTGTTGAAAGGGAATGATACCTAATCAGTGTTTCACTACAATTACTCGCAATCTCTCAGAAAAGCTACATCACATCCAATCAGTTTAACAATTAGTTCAACATCAAATATTCTTGCCTGGGTTAGGTAAGTACTCCTTGCAAATAATAGTTAAGTGGCACTCAACCTTCATTGGTTGATACATTACATCTCACCCATGCCAAAAAAATGTTTTCTGAAAAAAACACCGTGGATGTATTCCTCTTTTTCTTAAAAAAATTGGGTTTCCGTTCTCAATAATGTTTTCATCATAAAATTATCACAAAATTCATTGTGAAATTTTTATAAGCATTATAATGGATAATGTTATTTAATTTCCATCAGGTGGAACAGAGTATTATTCATAATGAATTCTTGTTTTCAATTTTCAGTTATCGGTGGACATTCCTCATTCTGTTTTCTTCACTATTTGCATCATTCTTGCATGGTCAGTGCCTACAACTTTTGTTCCATTGCCACCAAATTATTCGTATCCTCTGTCAAGTTAATTGGTGTGGTGAACATTTTATTCTCCACTATTTCTATTTTTTCCCTTGAACCCCTCAATCTGATATTCATACATGAGGGTTCATAAAAGAAGAAACCCTTTCATTTGATACCCATATTTTAGAAGTGCATGAACAAACTAGTTCGCCATCTCGTGCGCTCCGCCATATTACATTTATAGTGACCATATCTCATATTTAGTGAACTTTTCAGCAAACCCTTTCATTTGATAACCATATCAAGGAAGTGCTAAAAAAGTAGTCTGCCATCTTGGATGGTCTGCCATATTGGATTCAGAGTAACATCATATTATTTTTAGTAACTATTTCAGCAACCCCTTGCATCCATTTCATGAACTTAATCTTCATCAAGAGATACACAATCATTTCACCGCTGCTCTAACATTTCAATGGCACTTTTGTAGAACGATTCATCTTTTGCCTCAAAATAGCCCCCAGTTTCAACATTAACCTCATCATTTCAGCAAAATTTCTCACCGCTGAGCATTTTTTTTTGTACTGCGACGGAAAAAAGTCGCTGGAACCCAGATCTAGAGAATACGGTGGATGCGGAAGCAAGTCGGAGCCCAATTCATGTAATTTTAGTATTGTTTCGATTGACTTGTGACACGATACGTTGTTTTGTTAAAACAAATTTTTTTCTTTGCCATATGCGGTCGTTTCTTTGCAATTTATAATGATAATAATAATAATCGATTTTATTGCCAGAAAATCCCAAACATATACATATACATATGATAAAGTGAAAAAGAAAAAAAACAAAATATACATATCTGACAAAAAGCAGAGTTCGTGCTTTCTCAGTAGGAGTTGAGAATCAGCGCTCTTCCACTCAACCTACAAATTAATTCTAACACATAGTTTTGATAAGCACATATTAAAATTTCTACTTCGATTGAAAAACTGTATAGAAATAAATCCCTAGATAGTTCAATAATGAAAAAAAGAAGAAAAAACAAATGATGAGATAAACAAACGTTCCCAATAAAAATATTCAAGTTTCATGTGGCACCTGCAAATACATTTAGACACAGAAAAATAATAATAATTAAATTGTTCAAAATTACATTGATGATATCAGCACAGTATCAAATCATTTGAAAAAAATTGAGGGTTAAACCATCAGATAGAATCTGTTTCATATTTTTTTTTTGAAAAGAATGAATTGGCATATGTTTCATTTCAATGGGGATAGCATTGTAAAGGATGGCTATATTATACGAAAGTGATGATTTGAACAACGAGGTTGTTTCGGGATTGAAATTTTAGTTTTACGTACATTGATATTGTGCTGGTCATGTCTGAATTTCACCTTATTATACAAATATGACGGTTTCTTCATTGTGAGGATTTTATGATAAAGGCTGCAGCAATGTAAAATCCGGCGTTTATCCATTGGTAACCAACAAAGTTTAGAAAGATGGGTTGACACTTGTTCCCGTCTTCGTAACCCACGTATTAAACGCACACACGAGTTTTCAATTAATTGAATACGTCGATTGTCAGAACCAAGGACAGCAGGACCGTAAATACAGTCAGAAAAATTTAATTTTGAAAAGACTAGAGACCTTCAAACGCCCCAATGACGCTATATAATATTCACTCTTGATGGTAATTCCCTTCTCAAGTTACGTGGTAGGACGGTAGCCTGATGGGTTGAAGTGGGTGGTTTGCTCGACACACCCAATCGACCGCTGTGTGAGTCGGTAGTTCAAGCCGCAGGCCATACGATCGATTTCCACTTCATATCCTTCAACCCGTGTTACGAATCCCACGTTAAAAGGTGAGACTTCTTTAGTCATTAACTCGCACAAGTTTCGACTTCTGAGGGTTGTCGCTCGTAGGGGGGCAACAGCTGGTTAACGGAAAAACAGATTTTCAACAGAGATAGTACACCACGCTCATCCCAAAATATCGGGGTCATAACCTTTTCAGCTGATTATTGTACTTTCGGGCGCTTCGGACGAGGTTCACCAGTTGCTCTCCACTCGGATGACGATCGTTTTAATTCCGGAGTGAAGTGATGGATCCATGTTTCATCCATTGTCACATATCGACCCAAAAATTTCGGTTTGTTATGTTCAAACATGGCCAAACACGAACGATTTTGTGTCATTCCCGACTGATTCATCAATAAAAACTTGCTGGATCATCAAATCACTTTGATACAAATAAATCCGTTACTTTTTTCTGAAAAGCCATAGTTAATTTCCCCCTCCATTGCGGATGTATCACCAACGATCTGTTGATTTTTTGAAGGTAACGGCGGCAGGGAAAGCTGTATTGATCACCGGTTGCGACTCCCGCATTGGTAGCGCCCTCGCCCGACAGTTGGATGAACAAGGATTCACAGTTTTTGCAGGATTCCAGAACGCTTCCGGGAATGCCGCGGCAGAGGAACTGAAAGAAGAATGCTCTGCGCGGTTACATGTGCTTCAGCTAGATGTCGCTTCCGAAAACCAGATCCTCGCAGCTTCTCTCTATGCCGTGGAGCATCTTCCAGATGGAGCGCCAGGTTTATGGGCAGTAGTGCATGCGCAATCATGGGTCGCTCTAGGGGAGATTGAGTGGATTCCTCCTCAGGTAAGTAAAAAAATATGAGGGAAACTGTTTATTCTGCAGCCCTAAGGAGTGGCTGGTTCAAGGCTATGAACTGATGGCGAATGTGGAGAAAGTACTTTGGGTAATTTAGAAAAAAAATTCTCCCCAAGTCAGGGGTACTTAATCAAGAGTCTGGCTAAATGTTTACATTTATTTTTCCGTGTTCATATGAAAAATAATAATAATAGTAATGCGCCATATACTCATTATTCTTTTCAATTGAATACTTTTTGTGAAGTAGCTAAATACCAACTCACTTTTTTAGATTACTTGCCAATATTGATGAAATTTTAGTAGACATCATCGATATATATTGATTACTGATGTAAAAAAAATAATAACTTCAAATAATTTCTTCAACCTACAACAGAAACTATGAAAATAATATCTGAATAATACGTGTGCTGATCAAAATAACAGTGGATTCTTTAAAAAAACTAACAATATTCATCATCCATCAATTTCCAAGAGAAGTTATTTGTTAATCAGAGCATAAAAAATTATCAAGTGATTTTAGACCAATAAGAGTTTATAATTAGAGTTATTAATAATCAATTCCCTGTTCAGATTCAAGAAGCACATTTCTACTGAATAGATAGTGTTTCGAACCAGTAATGAAATTTTTGGTAGTAAAAAAGTGATTTTTTGTGAAGAAAAATCAAATTTTTATCAAACTTCTCAAGTATTTTCACTTTCAACACTCTGAAAAATATTAATCTTTCAATGGAGAACTTCATACACGTGTATAGTAACGGAAAACTTTTTTGTTCACCTTGATAAGTCACTACATAAATTCACAGTATTTTTCACAAAGAAAAATGTTGTATTTATTAGTAACTTGTATTCAAGTTATACTCATCTCAACATTTCGGATGTTAAAACCTGCCACCGTCTTCAGAATTGGAAAAAAATCTAAGTATATAAACAGGTTTTTCTCGCTGACTCTCTTCATTTCTAACTTCATCAAAAGATGTCAAAAAAGTTTTGAAATGTGAAATATGTCAATGTTGTTGACTGACTTCTGAATCATTTCGGCACTATCCATATTTTTCTTCAAGACGGGTAGCCAAGTACGATCAATTTCTAAGGAGCTGTTCAAAATTAATTTTTCTCCAGATGTAAGAATATACGCTTATTCTTTTAGTTTACGTCTATCAGAGTGTGGCTCATTGGCAGTCATTCTCGTCTTGTTCCACACAACTCGATGTTCACCGTCTGATTTCAAAATGTGTTCTGACAATTTTGATCCTGTTAATTGTATATTTCTTACTACTTTCAATGGTCTCCAAGGATTATCAATTAAACTTTCACCACAAGAACAAGGTATCTGTTTTCTCTTCTGTCTGGTTAGGTTTTATATGTGTGAATCAGTTTATTTGTCTTTTCGTTGAAGGTTATAACATCACATCTATTTCCAATTCGTCTTATCTTTTCAGATAGCCTTGGATGGTGTATAACGTTAGTTGTGAAAGGTGTCAGTGGTTGTTGAGTTGGTGGTTATTGAATTTGTGGTACTGCCATTTGGTTTTTAATTTTCTATTACATTCATCGTTGAAACTACGGAAGAATCTGGATAAGCATTCTCTTCCAGAATAGATTTGATCAATGATATTTCTTCGTTGAAATTTTCAGTTGAATCGTTTTTGATCTGTTATAAAGACAATATATCATACCTTTCTTGAGGTGTAATCTCAAGATATAGTCTATAGTTAGTGTAGACGCACTTGAAGAAGCTATTGTATAACGAAACACGTGTTGGGTTTTTGTAAAACTGTTTAGTGAAAATCTCACGATGAGGTATATTCACATACTCTATCACATCACTGTATTACATTACATCATACATCACATCAAGGAAAGGAAGTTTACCATCTTGTTCAATCTGTATTGTAAACTTCATTGTCGGTTGCTGTTCATTGATATAATTCAATAAAGTATTCAGAAAAGAAAAATGGGCTTCCATATCACACAAACTTTCTAAATACCTATTTCGAGGTTTCTCACGATAAGGTTCCTTCATGGAACTGTTTTGAAAGATATCCTGTAATTGATCTAATTGAAAATATAATGTTTGTTTGAAGTCATCACCCGAAGACGATTGTGGATACTAGCAATCGAAACATCGCGAACTAACTTGGCTTGAAATCTCCTAACTTTTTATTTTTATCCTTATTTTCATTTTTTTTAATTCTTCTTTTTTAGTTGTTTCAGGGATTTCGAATCATTTTATATATTAGACAAAGGAAGTCCGAACTAGTGAAATTCATTTTGAAAATATAATATACATACCATTTTTCCAATTATGTGTTTGCATAATTATCCGTAATGAACTTTCCAAATCCTTCAGTTGAGTTTAGCTCTTACAATGTTAATTTTAGAATATCATCTGTTGTGGAAGTATAGGAAACATTGTGTTTGATATTTCGTACAGTCGCCATTTCACCGTATTTGCTTGAATCCTGACACATTCGCCAAAAAATGAAAGAATATGGTGAATGATAAATATTGAAAAATATAGTTTTTTTTCCTTTACAACTCAACCTATGAACGACAGCCAAAAATTCCGTTTCTTTAACTCTCATATTATTTCTTCTTGAGATTCAATTCACATACGTATCTTGATAAATTTTTCACAAAGTTAAGGAAACATGAAAATTTTAAAATCGTACAATGACAGCCAATTGAACAGCATATCAAAACCGGATCAATATTTTTCTGTTGATTCATTTCAGTGAATTGCAAAATGATGTTCTTGAAATGAACAAACTGGAATATTGAATATTGATATGAACATTTTCAATGGAAGAATGAAAGACATAACTTTTAAAATATGAATAGTTCAGAAAGAAAACTTTGCTGATTTATTTCGATCTTCCAAAAGTATGAATCTTTTGATTTTATTCAGTAGTTATTTGTTATAGACTCACCAACAAAATCAAAAAATTCACAAATTTCGATTGACTTTGACAAATAAAAATTTCAATAAATTTGCAATAAATGGTAATTCTGGTATAAAAATGTTTCAAATTATGAAAATTATTTCAAAGGTCAAGGTTTCTTAAAAGTCTCTCAAATATAATTTATGTATGGCTCCTCAGCTTCCCGAAAGAACGTTCCCTGCAAGTAGCTGTCGAAAAATATCTCTAGATTACTTTAACGATCAACGCTGGTGCTTTCCTGGGAGCCATATTGTCTGCAACCCCCTTTTTATTGTACATCAACGACTCATTGGAAAAAACAAGAATCCAATATATTGCTTTGCTGACAACAGCACACTTGACTCGTCATTCATTTTGAATTCCAGGACATCGACTGCGGATGCACATCTTCAACGGCAGCAGGAGATTGCATATCTTAATGAGAATCTAGAAGTAATTTTGAATTAGGGTGAAAGTAACCAGGTTCAATTCAATGCCACAAAAACCCAAGCATTGGTTTTCTTCAAGAAGATACATCTTTCCGAACCGGATATATTAATGTCAAGTCAGACAATTCCGCTTTCTGCTTCGATAAGTTTGTTGGGAGTTTAAATGGACACCAATATGTCTTGGCACAGTCATGTCGCTGGAATTGCAAAGGATGTTTCTCAAAAGCACTCTTCTAAACCAGCACAGATCATACCTTCTTTGAAGTATTGTTCACAAGTTTGGGGTTCCGCCCCTAAGCACATCCTGAAACTGCTGGATTCCATCCAGAAAAGAGTCATTTGCCTGATTGGAGACGCGAACATCACGTGCAAACTTCATAGCCTGCAACATCGAAAATAGGTTGGATATTTGTCTCTCTTCTATAGATACTTTCACTGGAAGTGTTAAGTGACTTGGCACATTTGATTCCACCAAGAGTAGTACATTGAAATACGCGACGGACTGTGGCTGCGCATCGTTTTGAAGTTCAACTCAGTGCACCTCGAACTTCACTGTTGGGGAACTCTTTGTGGGTTAAACTTCCAGAGAACATTTTTTCAAATGAATTTCAATCTCCAGCGCTCCCAATCCAACGTAAATCGCATAATCTCTTTTCTGATTAATTCACATTTTCATCCTTTGTTTTTCATTTTCAGTAAAAATTATTAACATATCCGCATTAGAAAAATTTAAAACCATAAAACTACAAACATTTATCAACAATTATTGAATCGTTCGATGTAAAAAGAGAAATAGAATTCAACTTCAAAACAGAGGTAATTTTTTGCAAATCAGATAATTTAGAGAACATTTATAGGTAATTTTTATAGAGAAAGAATTCAAAAATATTTGAGGAAATTCAGTAGTTCTATGCACAATATTCAAGACAATATTAAAATTGAAATTATATTTTTTTCAATTTCACCTCAGTTTCTCATTTTTCGGGTCGTAGTCATTAAAAATCACGTTCTCCTCGAAGATATATAGGCCGTAGAGGATTCATGTCATAATTACGTAATAATAATAATAAATACATATACAGTGCACTTCTTGAACGGGTCGACACAAAAAATTGAAATTTGGGATAATAAAATTAATGCATGAATACTTTATTTTGAAGTGAAATTGACAAATGAAACTTTCCAGATGGCGATTGAGCGCCATTTCAATATCAAATGGAAAGGGGGTTTTGTGACACATCATTTTAAAGCACCTGACGAATACTTCACAACCCTAGAATATGAAGTAAATATATTCACCTACTACAAAATATCGAAACATTCAATAATTTCCTGAAGACAAACACATTAATATTTCTAGAAATATTCCTTTTCATTTGCCATATGGCAATTCCAACAATCCGATAAGGTTTGTTAACTTACTTTTTGTTTATAAAAACGTCAAATAATGTCAGTAGGACAATGAGCATCATTGTTCAGTTAGAATATTCTCAATCAGTTTTCGGTTTTACTAGTAGAAAGGTACCACGTCAACAATCTCTAAAATGGTAAATTATCGTCCAGTGGAAGAACAAGTTGAAGCGACGGTGCGACGCGTAACTTTCACCACACTGAA